ATTTCTGACTCCTCACTTCCCATTGTGCCACGCAGTCTTTTTCTTTTGTAGCATCGCCTCCATTAAGAACTTCCAGGCAGAGGAGTAGAGATGTAGCCATCTTTACCTTAATAGTCGGTTAATAGTCTGGCTCTCTGAGGCAGAAACCACCCTGGATTTTTGTCTAGGTTCACTGGAAGTTAAATTTTCTTCTTCAAGTTGTTCCCTTTATTCCATACCCCAAACACCACCAAACATTGAGAGCTCCCTTTGGATGCCTGGCCAGTAGCTCACTCATTTTCGTAAGAGACTCAGAAGCATCTTCACACTTCCCCCGTGTCTGCCTGTCACCTCGGGGCTACTTTGCTTAAATGCAAATGGAGGCCTAAACATGACCGTGCCTTTTAAGTTCTGAGTGGTTTGGCTGAGAAAAATCAATGGCTGCTTGGTTGTGCTGGTGATGGTATCCTGTGACATTACATGACCATATGCTGGATTTTGCATTCTCTCTATAAAACATCTATTGTTCCTGATACTGTATCTTTGCCTTTTTGATAATGCTTGGTTTTTTGATTGCATGAAATTTATTTCCTTGTTATTCTGATAGTGAACCATTAATTCAGGTAGATGCCCTTTACCCAGGTGATCCTGGTAGGGCAGCTGTTATACCTCCCTTCTCTCTATTCTCAGCGTGGACCTCTCTTAGGTTATGCTTACTCCCAGGGCTCTCCATTAATAATTTTTTCACACAGCTAACAACTCTGTTTTTAAATGAAGAGGTTGTTTTTTAATGCTCAGAGGCACATTCTTACAAGTATTCAGTTTCTTTGATCTTTGCTATATGAAAAACAAATACAACAGAACCTCTTCTATAGTCTATCCGGTCTGTCAGATAGGGAGGGAAATCAAATAGGATATTGACGGCTCAGACCTGGGGATTGTCAGAGAAGCAAAATGACCTTAAGAGATTGTGCAGGGCAGGGGCGCCTGGGTGGCTCAGTTGGTTAAGCCACTGCCTTCGGCTCAGGTCATGATCCTGGAGTCCCGGGATCGAGTCCCGCATCGGGCTCCCTGCTCAGTGGGGAGTCTGCTTCTCCCTCTGACCCTCTTCCCTCTCGTGCTATCTCTCATTCTCTCTCTCAAATAAATAAATAAATAAATAATCTAAAAAAAAAAAAAAAAAAGAGAGAGATTGTGCAGGGCAGGGGTGCCTGGCTGGCTCAGTCGGAAGAGCATGCGAAGTTTGATCTCGGGGTTTGTAAGTTCGAGCCCCATGTTGGATACAGAGATTACTAAAAACAAACAAACAAACAAACAAAAAACCCACACACCACACACACACACACACACAAACTTTAAAAAAAGAGAGTTCGTGTACGGCAGAAAGGGCCTCCACACAAGTGTGCCTAACCTAGCTGATAGCTTCTAGGTGGGTGTTTGTGTGGGGGAGAAAGTAGTGTTGAAGAGGAGGCTTTTATGTGTATAAACACCTGGAGAGCAAAGAGATGAATGGGAGAGAGAACATGGGGGTGAGTAGAGGGGGTAAGATGGTGGTCATACTCCAGCCTGGCCCAGGGACTACATCTGAGTCCAGCAGCAAGATGGGCTACTGGAACATGCCATTATCAAAAGGAAAGGGCCCCATTGTGCTCAGGTAACAAAGCGTAACATGGAGTGAAGAAGGGAAAGGAGTGACAGATTAGATACTTAACCTGGCTTGCCTGTAACATTTATAAAATTTGCAGGGGTCAGAAAAAGAGTTGGGTTGGGGATCTACATACCCTATGTCTAAATATTTCAAATGTTTGAATCACCAAATACAGCATGTTTTATTGAATGATTTATCTCCTTCCACAACACATGTACCTTCATAATGACCTGAAAGGATTTAGAATTCTCAGACTCCTCTAAGTCCTGCTCCGATGATGTAGGAAGAGCTGCCCCCCAACCCGTCTCCTAGACCAGGCCCCATCCCCTGTTTCAGGCACACGACCCCCTCCCCCTGAGGCCTGGGGGCACGCACACCGGCAGTGCCGTGTCAGCCCTCGCGAGGTCAGCTCTCAGAGGAGCACGCAGGCCCTGGCAACGGGCTTGGGGCGGTTCCGGGGGGCCAGGGACCTGGAGGGTGGGCAAGCAGGGGCACACTCCTCGTTCCCGTGGACGGGACTCCCGGGCCTGTAGGGAGAGGCGTGGCCAGAGGAGGACCAAAGTGGGGCCTCGACAGCAGGAGCTCAGGACACCGGTCCCCCTGGCTTGGGTCTTAAAGCAATCGTCTACAACAGCTCCCACGGCGTAAACACTAACCGGAACCAGTTCGAAGGCCCTCAAATCACACTACCTCGGCCTGCTCTTTCAGTTTAAATAATGGTGACAAAGAGCCCTCTGCCTTCTATTTCACCATGTGCTTCTAGCCATAAGGAATATTACGTGATAATACATTTTAAAATGTCAACACTGGTGACCAAACACGGAGTTGTGGGAGTGTGACGTGTACTTCATTTTAGCAGAGATGAATTACACCTAATTAGGGCTTTGGGAAAGAAAGATAAAACCCTTCAAGGTCAGCCCGGGGATCGGTGGTGGTGGAGTAGGGGGTACACATATGGTAGACTATATGTGTGAGAAACGGAGCTGTGTTAGCACAGGACGTGAGAGAAGGTGTCTCATGCCACCAAGGGGGCACCCAGGAAACCTTAACGAAATGCAGAAATGACGCCCTCTTGTCTCAAACCCCTGGGCCCTTCCCCTTCTCTGATCCTCTGTTCGGGTCAAGTATGACCTTATCTTTTCTTTTTCCTGAAACAGATTCCAGAACTTTAGTACATTCTCTCCCTTTCTGCTTTTATTTTCATTATCGTGAAATATTTCAGATCTCCACAGGATAGAATACCCTATCAAAGTCTGTGTACCCACCACCCAGCTTAAGAAACGTAACATTACAAATACAGCTGAAGCCACTGCGGAGCCCTCCCCGGTGGGATTCCCCTCCCTTTGTTTCCCCAAGAAGTAGCCCCCATCCTGACTGAGTTATTTACCTTTCCCCGCGCATGCTGTCACACACGCTGCATTTGTATGCATCTCTCCTGCGCAGGTTTTTACCCCAGACATCTGTATCTGCCGTCAATACGTGGTGATCATTTTGCATGTTTTTTAGACTTCATACACAGGGTATCGTGTTTGCATCCTTCTGGAAGCAGCTCTTTCCCTTATGCTGCTTTCTGCTGCCATCACCCCCTCTGAGCCGCTCTGTGTCTCAGCCCCCTGTGAGTTCTGGTCTCCTCCCCAGGCCAGCGCTTGCCGTCCTGTCCAGTTTACCTGCAAGCCCCAAGCCAGTGAATGAAGGCTGCTTCTACCACAGGTGAGTCTCAGCTTCTTCCCCTGTGGCTCTTTTTTTTTTTTTTTTTAAAGATTTTATTTATTTATTTGAGAGAGAGAGAATGAGGGATAGAGAGCACGAGGGGGAAGAGGCTCCCGCTGAGCAGGGAGCCCGATGTGGGACTCGATCCCGGGACTCCAGGATCATGACCTGAGCCGAAGGCAGTCATTTAACCAACTGAGCCACCCAGGCGCCCTCCCCTGTGGCTCTGAACCAGCGCTTCTGAGACCTGAGCTGCATCAGCATCCCCTGAAGGGCTTGTTCAAACACAAGAGTGCTGGGCTTATCCTCAGAGTTTCTGCTTCAGTAGGTCTTGGGTAGAGCCTAAGAATTCCTGAGTGATGCTGATGATGCTGTTGTGGGGACCAAACTTCGGGAACCAACCACTGCTCTAAAGCAGTGTCTGGGCCCAGGCTCAGCAGCACCATCTGGCCTCGAGGCCAGCTAAGCCATGCAGGAGGTTTCCTTCAAAACCATGTTCTAGGGCGCCTGGGTGGCTCAGTAGGTTAAGCGTCTGCCTTTGGCTCAGGTCATGATCTCGGGGTCCTGGGATCGAGCCCCGCATTGGCTCCCTGCTTAGTGGGGAGCCTGCTTCTCCCTCTGCCCTTCCCTCTGCCCTTCCCCCTGCTCGGGCTTTTTCTCTCTCTCAGATAAATAAATAAAATCTTAAAAAAAAAAAACCCAAAACACCCCACCCCCACCCCCTGCTCGGGCTTTCTCTCTTTCTCAAATAAATAAATAAAATCTTAAAAAAAAACCATACTCTAGAGCAGCACTGTCTAATAGACATATAATGCAAGTCACATGTGTAATTTTAAGTTTTCTAGTAGCCACATTAAAAAGTAAAAAGAGGGGTGCCTGGGTGGCTCAGGCAGTTAAGCATCTGACTCTTGCTTTCGGCTCAGGTCATGATCTCAGGGTCATGGGACTGAGCCCCGCGTCGGACTCTGCGCTTAGCACAGAGTCTGCTTGTCCCTCTCCCTCTTCTTCTCACCCCTCCCCGTCAAGTGAATAAATAAAATCTTTTAAAAAGAGTAAAACGAAATGGGCAAAATTAGTTTTAACAGTATATTTTAACTCAATATATTATCGTTTCAACATGTAATCCATATGAAATAATCAGTGAGTTAATGTGACATTTGTATACTTAACAGCACATACCAAATTAGACTAGCCATATTTCATAGCCACGTGTGGGTGTAGTTACTAATGTCGTGGACAGTGTAGCTCTAAAGACCTGACTTACATCTCTCTCCTTACAAAAAGTGTTTTAAACTTGACATTTTATTTTATTTGGGGCTGTGATAAACTAATTTAAAATAGGCTCACCAAATGGTGTGGAAAGTGATACCTTTCAATGAAGGTACGGTGGGCCAAAACAAAGAGGAAAAAGAGAGATTTGAGTCAAGATAATTTAACTAAGGAAAATCTGCCTACATTCCAGTGTATTAATTTAAAACAAACTTAGTTTTAACTAGAACAAATGCTGTCAAATATATCTGTCAAACGTAAGAGAAGAGTCGCATTTCATTGGATATCACTTTTTGGGTGATGCAGTTTGGAATGACATCGGTGTTAATGAAATTCCCGTGGGCTTCTAAAAAATGAAAAACCTAAAAATAATGAACAACACATTCTTTCTTCTTTCTTCATCTTCTTTCTTATGTGCCAACTGCGGGATGAAATGAGAGAAAATGAGCAGTTAGGCAGCATTAACCAGCACCAGTGACTTTCTAAACCTGTGAAAACAGCCCTGTGTACATGTGCTGCCTTTGGGTGCTGGATCTCAGCAAGTGGAGGACAGCACACTCTCCTCTTGTCACCTGTGCCCTTGTGTATAGGGTGCTCGGGCAACCCATGGCTTCCATTCTGTGATCATACCGACCTTGTCTCCCTCTTGCCTAACTCCGTAAATGCTTCCCCCACCCCACCTTGAGAGGCCATTCTGGAATTTACGGAAATCCCTTCACCTTAAAATCCTCTGCTCATTCCACAGATGATACTCCCTTACTCTCCCAGACCCTCGGTCTCCCTATCTACCATACAAGAATGAGGCTGTGATTATGAAATACACAGCTGTGAAAATGCAAAAAAAAAAAAAATGTTAATCATTTCAATACATTCAAAGACAAGATACACCTCAAGACTTAATTGCCAATTCAGTGATAAGTCATAACCATACTATGACTAAGTTTCCTTGGACTGTCACATAAAATACAAAAATCTACACCTGAATACTTAGGTATTAATCATTAAGTGTGGTCCTCCTTGAAATTCTTGACTTTTTGCTCTTTGTATGTAATCACCTTCGCAAAGGCATTGTCTCTCCTAGTAAGTACAAGGGGGTACATTTCCATGGCCAAGTAATGAATGTCCAACTAGTGCACAGCCCAGCCACTTTCACTGCTGCTTCTGCTAACCGTTCTCTAAACAAACATTGGTCTCAGTTGCTGATACAAACTACCACTTGTTAGTAGTCTTCCAGGTAGAGGACAAAAGACCTCACAAGAACGAATGAGCAACCATGAAATATATTTCAGAACATACTGTACTTTCTATTACTAGGTACGTGAGTATTCTATTAATGTTCCAAGCAGGTAAAACTGAATTTTTAGACTAATTTTAAACACGCTTCTTAATTTACTGGGAGAATTGAAAAAAAAAAATAAGACTGTCAGTAACAGGTAAATGCCAGGAATGGGGCGGGGGGTGATGTGCAAAGCTGTACCGATACCTGGATTTTCTGGGCCTGTTCTCTGTTGGGGCAGATCTTTTTTAGTCGGGTCCTTCTTGTTTTTTGTTGAACTTGTCTTTTTCTTCGTCCCTTTCAGAGTCGTGGGCCTCTTTGTCAGACTTCTCATACTGATATTTAGTTGTTCCTTTGGTAAAGAATAATACAGACTTTGGAGCAGACATTCACAGGGAAAACCATCCCGATGCGTGATGAATAGTGACACCCAGTACTCTACCCAGAGGAGAAGCAGGAGGCTAGAAGGGACTCGGAAAAGGAGAGGTGGGAAGCTTCCCGTAGGTTGATACGACCCCTCCATGGCCCTCACCGTTCTGCCGCTTGATCACTTACTCTCACGGTGACATTCCTAACAGTCAGTCACCCTGCCACCCTGTGCTGCTGACTATTTCGGGCCCTTCTGAGAAGAAGGGATCAGAATCATCAGGGTCTGCTGCCTTCCGTAAGTTTTTGTCAGGGATTTCTCACAAAGATGTTGTGCCTCAACGACACATTCTGTGGTGAAGCTCGTTAGCTCCTCCACCCCTGAATACTTCACTTCTACCAGGCGCTCGCGGGTCAGTTCGTAATGATCGGGGACGAACTTTTGGAGACTCCTGACAGTTTTAAAAGCCCCGCGCAGAAACGAGGTGTGCCATTGGCTCGGTCTAGTCCTTCAGGCCCCGGCCCCCTGCGCGGACAGCCGCCCGCGGCTCCCGCGCTGTCCCGCGGCGCTCAGCCGTCTCGGCCGAGGCTGCCAGGGGGTCTCACGCGTCCTTCTCAAAGTCGTAGGTCCCTAGGGCGTGGGGCTCCCGCTTGGGCCCTCGGCCTTGGGTTTGGGGGAAGCCCGAGCCCGGCTTCGGGGCCCGGGCCGCCCGCAGCCCCCGCCCCCCGGGCGTGCCCCGCCCTCCTCACCCTTGGTGGTCGCCCGGCCCTCCTCAGGCTCCTGGTCGGGCTCCTCCGCCGTCTCCCAGGCGGCCTCCTCCTCGGACGAGCCCTCGGACTCGCGGGCCATGGCCGGTGCCGCCCGCGCCGGCGGGGCGGCGGGGGGCGCGGGGTGCCCGCGGGGGCCGCGGGGCGGCCAGGCCCGGGGCCGGAGCGTCCCGCGGCCGCCATGGGGCCGCACGAGGATGTGGTTGTTGTAGTAGACGCGGCACAGCAGCGAGTGCACCAGTTCCAGGAACATGAAGCGGAAACCCACCATGGGGAACTGGTGGGCGTCCACCAGGTTGTCCAGGCCCTCCTGCGGCTGCTCTGCCCCATCCTCCTCCGCCGGCCCGAAGTCCGAGTCGTCCTCCTCGGCCGCGGCGCTCCCGCCCTCCCGGCCGCAGGCCAGACCCAGACCCAGAGCCAGCGCAGCGTCCCCGAGGCCTCCCACGGGCCCCGCCACTTCGACCACCTCAGTCCGGGGGAGCCCGGACTCGACGGCCACCTCCATTCG